CCAAAAATGTTTTATTTTTTTTATTATTATATATTTCAAAATATATATAATCTATTTGAAGATCTTTGAATGTTAAATTACGATTTAAATTAATTCAAAAGAGTAAAAAAAATCAATAATATTTTTTGTCTTATATCAAAAGAACCATAATACAATTGGTGATACTTAGTAAAATTATTCAGTGATTGCTTTACATAATATGTTAATAATTAATAGTTAACATTGAAATTAAAATTGAAAGTATAGTTTTTATAATTTAAGAAAAAGTTAACATTAGTCAAAACATTTTAAATAATCAAAAATATGAACAATTTGATTTAATAATTTTTTTATACCTCCCTTATCGACCATTAATTTTATTTTCATCAGACTTACCATCAGTTAAATAAATACAGTCAACTCGCGGTATAACGAAGTTCGATATAATGAAAACCTCGATAAACGTATAAAACTGTTGGACCCATGAAAATCTCGTGATATAACGAAAAATTTAATGTATTTTGGTCCCCTCGATAAAACGAAAATTTTTTGGCCAGATTTCACACAATGTAACGAATTTTTACAATTTCGTTGTACGTCTTACGAGTTTGTTTCAGCTATTATTATGCGATAAGATAATGTTCATGTATCTTTTATAAGATACATGTCTGTTAAATGTAAATTGTATTAAATATAAACATAAATTTGTTGCTATCGACAAAGATTTGGCTACCTGTAGAGTTCTCAATAATGATGAGATTTTGAATAAGACTGGTGACGAAGAGCCCCCGTAAGCTCGAATGTAACAAAATTAGGTCACCGTGTCGTCTTAAATTGTTTACAAAGACATGATATTAACGATATTGTATTTTGCAATATTCTAAATTTGGACAACACTATTAATCGTGTAAGCGCAAATGGATATACACAAAAAAAAACTGATTTTTTTTTTTAAAAAAAAGAAGTATGTATGTAATAAACAAAAATGTATGAATGTATCTAATAAAATATTTAATAATAATCTAATATTGCATGTCGGTTTGTTATTATAAAACCTAATAAAATCTAAATTTTCTTTTAAATATCGTCTAAATAAATTTTATTGATTTATGTTTTTGATATAATGAATTTCGATGTAACGAACTTTCAATATAACGTACTTTTTGCTCGGTCTCTTGAAATTCGTTATATCACGAGTTGACTGTATAACTTTCCATTTATTATTCGTATTATAATATAATTAAAAGTAATACCCCTAAGATAATGATTTTAATACTTTTAATCGAAAATAAGTATAGTTTAAAGTAAAAGTTATATAACAAATATAGTATCAAATAAGTATTTTGATATTGAAAATAATTTTAAAAAACATTGAAAATATTGTTGTAAAATATTTTGATCTAAAAAAAGTTCCTTAAAAAACAACACGTTACTACGGAAATATTATGGACAGAAGTATAGAAAATCAAAAATCAAAATATTTTATTTATATTTAATTATACAACTAATAAGTAATATCCATGGTTAACCGATAACTATGAAAATAATTACTAAGAGTAATGATATTAAAAACTTAATATTAATCATTTTTAACAATAGTATACTTCTCATATGAAGCTTTTTATGAAAAGTGATAAAAAATTTATTAAAACAAATTACACTATGTTTTATTTTTGTTCTTCATAAGAAAATATTTTAAAAAATAACGTATACAATTTATAATATCCGTTCTAAGCATTCATATATCTTATAACTTAACCATAATTAATATGGTACATATATTCGAAATATATTTTTCCACGGTCCGCAATCACACGGCAAGTATATTTTAAAAAACAGAAATAAAATAAATTTATTTAAAAAAATATGTATTGAAATATTCCCACAACAATGACAAGTAGGCGATGGATAATATTATGATGTTGAAATTAAGAGTAGGTAGCCAAGAATAACAAACCGGATATATCATACTATGTACAAATATAATAGGTATATTTGAAACTTATTTTAATACAGGGTCGTTTTTCTGAACAGTGGGAGGGTGACAAGAAATAAGAGAGACCATTTACGAATTAATATTACTAAAATATTGTATATATATATCCAAACTACGGGTCACATATACGCATATACGCTGTGTACCCGGTAGCTACAAGGTTGCCCATTTAAATTATACATGTGTTCATGAAACAGAGCATTTTATACTGACCAAGCGAACAACTGAGACCTGTTGGAATTTTAAGTACTAAAAATACGTAATATTGTTAAATAGGTACGTTAAAATACTAAAAACTTGTACCTAAGTAATTACAATAAACGATAAGTACCTACATACTTTAAAAAATATTTGACATTACATTAATGTTTTCTGTCTCGATTACAATTCAGGAATTTGAGTATAAATACAAGCTAATGACTAATACCTATTCTTATCAAAAACATATAAAAATAAATGTTACAAAAAAATGCATTAAAAGTAACAACTGATTTAACATGAAATTAGTAATAACTCAACGATTGCGCAAAAACTAATGATTTCATACTTCCCATTAATTAAAAAATCACGTAAAGTACAAATTATTCAAAATCGGAGATTATTAATTTATACTGAGACTTTTATAATTAAAAATCATAGATATCTGTCATTCAAATTCTTTTTAATGAAGGTATAATTATAAATTTAAATAGTTCAATTACCATTATTTCAAAGTTCAACATAGTAATTAGCTTAACGATTTATTTAACAATTCTCTGTAAATCAGTCTTTAATTTTTGTCCTATAATTATCATAATTACATAATATAATAAAATAATACGAGTGTGATAAAATATGTCCACATCATACATTTCTATATACGAATGTTATGATTAAAATGTAAAAGATACCTTATTTAGAACAAAAAATATTTTAACTACATTTAATACCAGACTGCATATAAATTGAAATTATATCGCACGTTTACTATTCACGCAATGCATTTGAAATTATTATTAAAATAATCACAATAGTTAATTTCCTTCAAATAAAAATGTTTTTAATCCGTAATAATAAAAATTCTAGAAATACTTATTTCAAACTCATTACGACATTTTTCCACTACTCTTAAAGTATTATTCAAGGCATTAATTTAATAGGTATTATTGGTTTCACTAAGAATTTATGTTATTTTCCATTATAATATATTCTTTTGAAAAAACTCTGAAGCAAATAACAACAGTTACATTTTTTTATCATTCATAATACTCAAAACTCGTTTTACAGTTTTAAAATAAATAAAATAAATAAACTAAACTTTTATCTATCCATGTACTATTTAGAAATATAATATAATTTCATTAATATCAATTAATCAATAGGACCTTCCTGTATACTTGAACTAACAATGTTTTGAATAGTCAATGAATGGGGTTTTGGTGTGGACAAGACGAACGTCGCCGACGACGATCGTTATGTACGATAAACTTGCCAGGCGTGTCCGACCACGCCTAAAATACCCGTTTACAACACATGTTCCGATTGACCACAGTAAATACTAATTACAAGTACTCAAATATATTCTTATAGTGGTTTATTATCAGCATACATAATTTTATCATATTACAACAAATTTTTTATCAGTTCAGTAAAATATACCACAATCAATAAATAACATATTGGCAGTACTCTCACATTCATTAACGCATATGACTTTTCGAAATGATATTTAAAAATATATTTCTAACAAAAAACTACTCCTCTATAAATAACTTATATTATAAAACAATTAGTTAATTTTCATTGAATATTATATTAAATTTATATTATAATAATAATACTATTAATTTTTAATAATAATTATATAACAATTAATAATATAATAAATTCGTAAACTTAATTTCCTAAATTATAAAATTCCAGGCCAAAAATATCGGGGAACTATAACAAGAAATTTAATTTTAATTTTATTTAAACTTATAAATTTTAAAAAAAGACCTAAACTTGTAAAAAGTCTGGCAATAAGATCTTACGATTAATCAATTTCTACTTCTTAAAAAATGTTATATGATAATTTAAATATTGTGTTAAATATTTGTGTTAAATTATAATATAATTAGAATTATTATTTCGTTGTTCCCTATAAAATCGATTGAAAGTTAAATTGAGATCACTGGAACTTAAAAAAGCTAGTTAATTATCAATAAATTCCATCAAGCCAACTAATTACAAGTTAAATATTGAAATTATTTATTTAATGTTTTTCAAAATAATACTAATGTATTTATTAAAACTATTTTATGAATATGTACTGGTATAATATCTACTGATAAAAGAATCATAAAGCTATTGAGTAAATATTCTCTAGTCCACACAAAACAGTGGTGTAAATTTAAATTCTCCCAAAGTTATATTTTCCCTTCTAAAATTTAAATAACCAATTGAAAACACAAAAAAAAATTTAAAATGATTTATTAATAAAATATAATAAATAAATATAAGCTCATACTCGTTCACCAGCACATCACCAAACTCAAAATTTCAAAGAGAAGATGATTAAAAAAAAACACTAAAAGTATACATTTGGCTTACAAAATTAAATTTTATAAATTGGTTACAATAAAATATTACTCACATATTTTATACTTTAGTCAAAAGCAAAATAAATATATACCATAAGGGAAGAATTTATGTATTTCTAAAATATAATTATCCCTCAAGTGAATATATAGGTATTATTAAAAGTTGTTATAAGTTTAGGTAAAATGGTATTATGTTTATTTAATACAATTACAATTTATATTTCTGAATAATAATTGCATATAATCACTGTGCAAAAACAAAAAATTTATAATCAACCAACACAAATAATAAATAATAATAATGTAAGAACTTTATTAATTTTAAAACTCAACAGATAATGAGAAAATTCATATACCTACCAAGCAAATCATAAAAATAATATTGAATATATAACTTTAAAACGTTTTAAATTTTTAATTTGATATCATATATTTTTAAAATAACTAAAACAATAGATACTTACACTTGAATAATGTGGATGAGTTGGCCTAGGAGTAGCATAATAAGTTGCAACTCCACCAGCATGTTGCATGGGATGCATTACTGTTGCGACTTGCATTCAAACAGCTTTTATGAAACTTCTATACAGCTAGAAAATAAAAAAAATATTATTTAATAACAATTTTTAAAATGTATTATTAAATACACCTTGACGAATTTAGTATAGTAATTTTTATTGAACCACATTTAATATATGTATATACGTTAAGATAGTCTAGAATTTCATATTTTTTCTCTAAAAATGTAAAAGTTAGAAAACATGTATATTTTATTTTCATGTATAATAATAACAGTGTCAATATTGTCATAATATAATATGCTTTAATAATTAATAAATATAAATTATGAATGATAAAACTAAAAATGCCTTAAATTAACTATACTTTAAGTGAATAGAGTATAAAGTATATTATATTAAAATAATAAAATAATATAATAGTATATTAAGATTAAAATAGATATGATTTAGTAATAATCAACAACTAAATAAAATAATTCTCTTTATAGAATAATTACATAGTATCTATTTTTAATAATTAAAATTGTCAAATATTTTTAGTATCCGAAAAACACTAATTGAAAATGATGACAATACAATTCTACAAACTATTAGTTTTAAGAAATTAAAATATATTAATACATTTCTTGCAATTTTTAGAACATTTTTTATAATATCTAATTAAAAACATTACATATTAAACTTAATTAAACTAATATGTATGTTGCATAAAAATGATCTAAAACTACAGTACATGTTTATTGAATTGAACTATTGGTATATTATTTATAATAATATTTATACATCAAATATAATTAAGATATTTTTAAAAATGTACAAGTACACTATACAGAGAATATAAATAGATGTGCCAGTCTGATTGGAACTAAAAAAAGGTTTAACTAATAACTTCAATACAGAAGTCTAATCATAGAAATATTTTATCAAAATAGTTAAAAATTATATATGTATATATTTTTAGTTGTTATCTTTGTTATTTACTCAACTATGTTTTTTATGTTGAGCTTTATCAAAAAACGATTGTCAAAAATATTTAAAAAATTATATTGTATATATTATAATAAATTGAGAGTAAAAATAATTAAAACCAATTTTAAGTATCACCTAAAAAACAACTAAAAACAACCTAAATAACAATTGATTAGTATTATCAACTAAGATGATATACATGTATACAATGTTTCATTTATCAAATATATAACTCTTATCAAATAAGTTTCTAAATAATAAATAAAAGTATAAGTAGGTCTTTTATTTCTTTTTACATTCTTTTTACAAATATTTAAACAAAACAGTAAATTTCTGTAAGTATACAAAATATAATATACATTAGCTAGTGATAATAAAATGTAAATAAGGAGTGTGCACCAGCATAATAAAGAATCATTGGTGGAGCTCCTTAACATTAAAAGATTGTATATGCTATATCATGTTTTAATTTGTTATTAACTAATACCAACAAAGAATATCATAATTAAAACTATACACAGCGTGTAAGACAAGAAAACTAAATACTGTGGAATCATCATCAAGGTCTGATTGGAAAATACAAAATAACAGTTTATAAATCACAACGGTTTAAATCTTTTAAACTCATTACTCGAATAACATGTTTTAATTGAAAGTATATGAACAACTCCAAACAACAATAAGTACATCTTAAGTAAAATGGATCTTAAAGCTTTACTGATCAATATTATGCAGTTATGGAAAATTCTCACAAGGTAAACTTACTAAATAAATATTAATCTGGGCACGTAACGGTATGGTTACAGTAAACTGACAAATTGTCCTGGTGTATTATCTGAACCTATGCAAGTTCACAGCAATGGCATTGTGTTCCAGGAAAGTTGATTCATCCTGTAAAAGGCAAACAGATCGTTTGATATTAGTTCTGAACTATAATAATCGCACAAACATCCATAGGACATAATATAAGGTCGAACGAATGATCACTCACCAGTCGGTGTGGACAGTTACTACTGAACATAGCAGTGACAGCAAAGGGTAAACAGATGCATTAAAGTGGTGAGTGGTGTGTGACGTATAGCTGATGCGGGCGACAGTAGACGGACACTTAAGTGAGGCGACGACGACGGCACGAGGAAAAGGCACTGAGCGGTGGTTTACGACTCGTGGTAGCGAGCATCAGTCTTTTGAGGCGGCCACCGAGGAGCGGCGACGTCGGAGAGATGTGAACCGGAGCGAGCGGAAAGCTGCTCGACGGGACGCACGACGGCTAACGTGGCGGAAACAGTCCGGGCGCCGTTAGCGCGCGATTGAGTTGGAGAAGGGCGAGCGAAACGAATGGCGAAAAAATAATGCTGAAGACTGAAGTCCGGGAAAGCGATTCGATCGGCACCGACTGACTACGGCGGCCGACGGAGAGATGTACTACGGATTCAGCGGATCGTTATCGCGCGTTCAATTAGAGGATAAATAAATAAATAAATAATAATAATAATAACAATCGCCGTCTAGTCGTCTACGGTCGTCGTCGTCGTCGTCGTCGTCGTCGTGCTGAGCGGCGGCGGCGGCAGCAGCGGCGGCGGCGTCGTCGTCGTCGGTCCGGTGTGGATAAGGAAACGCGCACGCACACTCTCGCAAAGCTTTCTGGCGCGTGCGCGCGCAAACGTTTAAACCCGGGCGCGCGCGCACATACGGTACACACGCGCGCGCACGCACGCGCAAGTTCGCTCAATGGCACTCTGTCGTACGCGGGAGCGCGTATGTGAGCGGGGCCCATACGCGGACGTACTCGCACGCGCGCGCAATGCGACGGATCTCACACGCCCAGTGGCCGCACCGTGTAACGTAGTAACCGATGCAGTGGTAGTATCACGTGAGGAGTGCGGCGCGGGCACAGGACCCATCCCTAGAGTAATAATAATAGCAACCAACGGCGGGAGGGGAGTGGGCCGGAAAAGAAGAAAAACGATCCCGCAACCCTCTGTAGCTTGGCGCACGACCAAACGCCCGCGCACCGCATCGTCTGAGCCGATCGATTATTTTCGAGTTCCGCTCATGGAACAGAAAAAGCTCTGCGTCGCGAAGGGATGCCCGCGGCGGTGGGACAATACCCTCGATCCGGGTCCCCCACCTTACGTTTTAACCGCTTTTCACTCATCGCGCTCTCGATATCTATTATTGTTCAAGCAGATATCGGTGCTGTTCTGTACGCCGGGCACGTCAACGGGACGAGCACGGGTGTTGTACTACGACAACATCTAAGACCGTGAGTCCGTACAAGATATCCCGTCGAATCGAACGTGCGCCCGCACAACCGAGTCTTGATTTTTGCAACCGGTACCGGTTGAGCAACTTTTCCTTAACCTCCAATCCATGTTAGGCTTGCGCACCGTGTGTGCCGGGTGTTAGACCCGGACTAACACTATCGTAGGTCCTAACCCTCTAGTCCTTACAGGGCCGTTGTTCAGTATTTAAATGGTTAAGAAACCTTCTCTTTGAGAGAGGAAGATTGAATCTCATGCAGTGTTAAGCTTTTAAAAACAATTATATTTACAACATAAAAATCAATTCTAAACTTTTATATGATAACTATTATAAATTTTAATACAATAAAAGTTTTCATAAATGTTTTAAAAATTCATTTTAATCCAAAACATATATAACATAAACTGTCAAAAACCATAAAAAAATTTTTTTATACCAATTTGCATACTACAAAAAAATTGTAGCCACACATTTTCGTAGTCCCTAGGCACAGTGCCTATAGTGTCTATGCGTTAATACGACTCTACCGGGTATGATCGGGCACCCCCCCGCCCCCCCGAAATATTGTGTATAGGGTCCTACGATTTTAGTCTAGGAGTAACGGACCCGTATTTTAACTGATGTTGCTCAAATTAAATGTAATCTACTCTAAAATATCTGGTAAAATATAAATGATCTTTTTTGATGGAAAAACTATAACTAAATGTTATAAATTTTCGTGAGAAAACTTATTTTGATGACACAACAGCTACAGTTAACTACAAAAGTACAATTCATATTGAAGCTGTCTGAAATACCTAATATATAAGATTCAAGGAAAATATATTGATTAGGACTAATATATTACACAATATCAAATAGAAAATTAAAGTTACGTTTATTTAATCATTTATTAAATGTATCTACACGTTTTATTAAGATAGGGCCCGAAATTATTGCAGGCACCCCCTGAAATGCAGGGCTACACACGCCTATCTTCTAATAGTATTACATTTGTTTTTATAATAATAAAAAAATAATTATTATAAATTAACTTAATTTTTGGAAAAATTTAAAACTTCCCTACAAAAAATTTGAAAATACACCACTGGCTGGATGCAATGATGATTTAGTGCTTTCGTTCATAAATCCGATCGGCAAATTTACCGGTTAGATAAACCACCGCTGCGACTTTTTCGGTCCACTATCCTCAAATCAGTAGCACACCCAAGGGGGGGGGAGAACGTTGGGGCTGTAGCCCCCCCCCCCAAAAATATATTTAATATTAAATTATACATTATATCATATCGTCACAAGTATAGTATACAATGATAGGTATGAAAGGTAAAAATTTTTTCAAGTTTTATTATTATGTTAGTAATACATTAATAGAAAATTAATGACAATTTTTTACTTGTATGTTAGGAAAGTAAGAAAATATTTAAGCCCCCCCCCCCCAAACAAAAATTCTGGGTGCACACCTGCCTCAAATTAATTTATTTGAGGAAAAATTCCCTCCCTTTCTGCCAACATGAAAGTGTATAATTTATACTTACTTACAGTAGCGGTTCGTGATAAATATTCTGGGGAGACTTAAATCCTTTAACATAAACTCCATACAACAAAGAACAAGAAAAACCATTTAGTGGAAAATTAATTATACTTAATATCTAATTTAATATTTAGTTAATATTTTTAATTTCATTTAATACTAACATTTTTTACAAACTTATTCAATTCTGCGAACTTTTGTATTTGAGAACTTACAGATAAACGTTGTGCCGGCGTACAGCGACCAAGGGCGTATTTGAGGGGGGGGCATTCGCCCCCCATGGCTCGTATTTTTTTTTAATATAATACATTGATTTATTTAAGAAATGTTATGTATAAATAATTAAGAATATAAATTACTAATCTATCATTATAATATGATAATAAATTCAATAATATGTCAATTTGATCACGGGTATCAATTTTTGTTTATCTTCTTATATCATAACATTTTTCGTTGTGGAACGAATAGTGGTGTTATCTTCCACAGATATTGCTACGGTTATAGACATTTACAACAATAACCGAGGTATTTATCAGATAATATAAAGTTATTTAAAGTAACACTTTTTTTATCACACATTTACTAGTTAGTCATTTTTTTGAACGTAAATGCATGCATATTTGTGTATTTTATAGAGCTAGAAGCCCCTAAGCCTAATAATAATCATAATAACCGACAATATTTGTTTCCATATTATTTAACTTGCAAATATTGGCCAAAAATATATTTTTGTAAATTGAAAACAAGGTTAAGATCAAGAATAGGCCAGCATAGACCAATAGGTTTGACTTTGATGCATGTGCATACAAATATTATTGTATCCATTGACGAAACAATTAATAAATTTGCCAAAATGAAAAAAAGAAATTTGGAATTTGTTATTTGACTACTTATTAACCTTATGTTTTCTACTTAGATACTTGTTAAATAAGTAACATATCTTAATTGTTTTTTAAAGTTTTTAAAAAATAATTAATAGTTACTATTACTACTATGATTATTTGTTGTTTTTTTATACAGGATTCAGACTGATGGTACAATTTTAATATAAGAACTATTTGTGTTGTTATTATTAATACTTATTTTATATGCAGTAAGTTTTAAATATATTTAATTTAATACCTATATTTTTATTTATTCACTCGAATGAGCAACAGGAACATGAGCTGTAGGTAATGAACCAGTGGCGTACCCAGGATTTTTTTAGAGGAGGGGGGGTCCAACATTTTAATTTTATCTGTTCTCTAATTATAATTATAGTTCAATTCAATACCAACAAATTACTGTTAATAACTATAGTAATAATCACAATAGTTAAACACACATCACACACATTCTGCACAAAGGTTTACTATAATAGGTAGGTACAGTAGAACCCCTTTCGTCAGCCCTCGGCTAGTCCGCCACTCCGGTTGATTCGACCATGGTACTATTGATAAAAATATGGATTTTCCAATTTATAGCATGTGGTTAGATATATTTATAAAATGAATTACCCGCTACTATTTATCTATTTTGTATTTATTTAATTATTTAATTATTTATTTAATTTAATATACGTATGTAATTAAAAATAATATTTAAAATAAATTTGGTAGCATTTTATCTTTAAATGTTTCTTTATATTCTGATAATCCAACTTTTTGGCGTTCCGACCACTCCCTCAGCCACGAAGGTGATGGATTAGAAGAGTTCTACTGTACTATAATTTTAAATCAATTTTTTTTTTTTTTTGGTAGTAAAATGTTATAAAAAAATACATTATATAATTAACAATAATAAATAATATTAAAAAAGCAGTATAAATTAAACATGGTCTATACATTATAGGTATATTTTATAATCTATAAACTTTGTATACCTATTGAAGATAATGGGAAATTAAAATACACTATATACTATTTACTATTAAACCATTGAGTATGTAGAAATTTTAATGGGGGGTCCAGAACCAAAAACCCTCCCTTGGGTACGCCCCTGTAATGAACTGTAAATTATTTTTAAGTTTGTATTGAAGAAAAGTAAAATCATCAAAAGTACTAATCATAACTAAAAATCCTTCATTCAATTTTGCTTTAACAGTGTGTGATCAGGTTTACATGTTATTATGGTTGAACCTGTCGGGCATCAGTTTCACTGAAACGGCGACCATTACTGAAATGATTAAATTAGTATTTCCATTGACATAATTATTTATAGGTTTTAGATTTTGTGGCTATTCATTTATAATAATAAAAAAAGAAATAACGATATAACATATTTTCAATTAAAATAAAAAAATTTCTATTCATTTTTATTTTTAAATAGTTATTATTTTACAAGTTCCTGTATTTTTTTAAGGGGAAACTCAGTCTCAAAGTCTTCTCTAACAAGCCGCCCCTGCTTAGTTAATTAATGTACACAAAAATTTTGTTCATATAAATCAAATCATTAATTTTAGGGAATTTTAATCTAAAATATAAAAAAAAATACGAAAACAAAATTTTATGAAATATAAAGTAATATAGGTACATAATTTATAACTTTTTCATTTGATGTTAAATTATTGGTGATCTCCAAGTGTGATTTACCATTATGATAGACGACTCCGAATTATGCAGTCGACGTTGAATTCGACTTGTCGATTTCAATCGTTTCCTTGTACAAACGTATCCATACAGGTCTGTACCGGGGAAAATATTTGATAAACTTTGATTTTTACTTTAATATTGATATCGAACTCGTGTTTTGTTTTATTTTATTATTTTCGTAAATTTTTGTA